CCAAAAGTTCAAAAGAGAAAAAGTAAGTGTACCATTCTTCTATTGTGAAAAGGGGTGAGGAATCAATGGTTTTATTTTGCTTGATTGGTGCTTCATCTAATGAGAAAAAGGGTAAACTACGTATTTAATCACCTAACTATTTACTCGATTTCGTTTTGGTCACTCATGTTGGTCACCCTCCGTTAAGAAGTTAAAAGTGATGCTAACATGTCATCATAAGGTAATATCATGTTATTATTGAAAAATTAAAAAAATATTACATCAGCAGTTCTGTTAATATTTTAGCGGCGTGTGACAAAAATGAAACCAAAACATAATGTTAAACATGATTTTGAAAAGAAAAAAAAAACAGTTTGGTGACTAAAACGAAATCACTCGAATAATTAAGTGGCTAAATACATAATTTACCCATAAAAATTGTAGTTGCTTTGAGTGCAAGAAGGTACCAAAACTTCATAGATAAAAGGTGGTGGTTGCTCTCTCTCCTATGCTCCCCCAGCTGTGAGTTATGCTTGCTTGAAGTTTAACCTTCCATGGCTTGATTATCACATATACTTTGTTTATTGTACATGCGTGTGTGAAGAAAGTTAGAATGTGGGGTTTGGCTTGCACTAGTGAAAATAGTTATGGTACCCTTTGATTACACTTTGGAAGAGGTTCTCTTTTGTTGATATTCACCGTTAAAAGACTGATAGTTTAAATTCTTATATATTTTAAATATTTTTTTATATTTTTTATTAAAATTTTATTTTCATATTTCAAAAAGCTTATAAATATTTTTATAAATTAATTTGGTTTGCAATGCTAAGCAAGAGGCCGAAGATGTCTAAGCATGCTGCCAAGGGAACATGAAGAAATGGAATTGGACCGCCTTCATTACATGAATTTGGTTGCAATTTTTTGTTCTATCCCATTAAATTAAATAAAAACGAAATTGATCATATATTATATTTTTTACCTGCTCAGTAAGAAAAAGTAGACAATACACAAACATAAGTGATCAATCATGTAGTTAACTCGATCCACATGAAAATGATGTATTTTCTATTTTATTTAATTACCGTGCCAGCTTAGCAAATCGTTAGTGGTATAACAACAGATAATCCGTGGTGATCACATCTTAATTAAATAAAAACATAAGTGATCAATCATGTAGTTAACTCAATCTATATGAAAATAATGTATTTTCTATTTTATTTAATTACCGTGTCTGCTCAATAAATCATCAATGGTGATCGCATCCTAATTAAATAAAAATAAAATAATTATATATTATAATTTTTAAAAATAAACATAAGAAAATACACAGAACATAAACATAATTTTTTTTAATTAATGGTCTCATCACAATCACAGGAAAGGGCGGTTCCTGGTGTGAAATCCAACAAAAGTTTTTAACTTTTTAGATTCTTTGCAAACAGTGAAGTCAAAGCTAAAGCAATTAGACTTTGGCTATTGGGTCAGCATTTTAATCATCCACCTACAAACTATTGGACCAATAAATGAGCCGTTCTTTAAATCATTTGGTAGTTTTAAATTATGTCATGTACTTTTTTTTCTCTTATTTAAAGTTTTATTTTAATTAAGGGTAAAGTATACTAATGGTCACTGAACGTTTCTAAAGATTTCATTTAGGTCCCCCAACTTTTAAAACTTACAATATGGTCCCTAAACATTTAGTATGTTTGCAATATGGTCCCTCAACATTTATTCCGTTTGCAATATGATCCCTGATGTAACTGTTAGGGGACCATATTGCAAATGGACTAAATGTAGGGGGTCTGTATTGAAAGTTTTAAAAGTTGAGGATGTAAATGAAAGATTTAGAAAAGTTCAACTTTGATATTGGAATACGAGTATCCGTTCATTGTTTCTTGGTTTTGTGAAACTGGAAACGGTAGGTGGGACTCGTGGGGTTTGCTAGATTGGTTTGAGCTAGGCGATAGAAGAGCCTAGCAATGGTGACAAAATATATATGGGTAAAATATAGTAATGGTCATTGAATTTTTTTAAAGCTTTCATTTAGGTATTCTAACTTTTAAAACTTGCAATACGGTCCCCAACATTTAGTTCGTTTGCAATAAGGTCCCCAACATTTAGTCCGTTTGCAATATGGTCCCCGACGTAACTGTTAGGGACCATATTGCAAACGGACTAAATGTTGGGAGACTGTATTACAAGTTTTAAAAGTTGGGAGACCTAAATGACAGTTTTAGAAAAGTTCAGTGACCGTTAATATACTTTACCCTTTAATTAATTCAAATCGTTCGACGTTACAATTTTAATTTTGGTAGATGAGTTACTCAACAGAGTTTTCTTTACATACACAAATGCTCGAACTCGAAACCTTACTTAAACGATATCAATTTGCTTAATACTTAAACCAACCTCTACTAGTCATTATACTTTTAATAATTTATATTTAAAAAAAAATAAATGAATTGCCTAGTGAAAGTTTATTTCATTTTTAAAATTAAAAAAATCTCACTCTCAATATACCAATAATGATTTTTATATAAATTTTCAAATACATAATTTTGATTACTTTAAAATAGAATTTGTATGTGTAACAAGTTGCCATATTTTTCCAATTAATAATTTCAAAGTATTTTTTTTCATTTTAGTTAAAGAAAATAAGTACACTACACAATGGTGGATAAAAAAATTGTTCAACGGGACACAAATATTAGCCACATAAAATTTTTAAATGGTATGGCTATAAATAAAATTTTAGAGTGGGCACTGTTCGTAAAATAAGTAACTAATCGAAGAAATTTAAAAATCAGGATAAGCATGATCAATAAATAAATAATTAATCGAAGAAAATTCAGATTTCGAATTTCAGGATGAGCACGATCACCAAGTTTTGCAATAATCGCAGTAATAAAGTGCAACCAAGTAAGAAAAATCATTTTTTTATTAAGGTAAGATGATTACAAAGTAGTATATGTTCTAAATATTCTTAATCATTTGATATGAACGTTCAATCACTTTGATGCAGTCGCTGATGCTCGAACTGTGACATTTATAAATAATAACGATTTTTTTAACTTTTAAGACAAATTGATTCGTGTCCAAATAAAAAAAATCCCGGTTCAAAGGAATATAGAGAAAGAAAGAAAACTAATATTTTATATTATTAACAACGTGGGTAGTCATAACTAACAATAATTAAACAAAAGATTTGGTCATGGGTGCCTATACATTATTTTTTTTATTACTAACATTTTTCGTTACACAATCACCTTTTAACTTAACTGAATGCATGCTCTAGGAGGAAAAAAATAGGTTAAACTATGCATCTAGTACTTAAAGTATCAATTTTGGTTCGTTTTAATACTTAAACTTTTATTCTTTTAAAATCATACATCACGTTTAGGTTTTTATTTTAGTGCCACTCCGTTAAAAATTTAACGCGTTTAGTACTTAAAATATCAGTTTCGGTCCGTTTTAGTACTAATCTTTCAAATTTTTTCAAAATTAACATTAAATTTTGAATGGGTACTAAAATGAAATAAAAATTAAACTTTAGATAGATTTTGAAAAAATTTAAAAGTTTAGGTATTAAATCAGACTACAAATGATAGTTTAAGTACTAAACGCATAATTTACCCAAAAAATGCATGCTCGATTTTAGAGAAAATGGAGCGATCGAGCAGGGTATTGTCGTCTTTTCAAATGGAAAAAGTTGGAAAAAATGGAAGAGAAAAAGAAGAGAAGCAGGTGACAATGGGCAAAGATACGTGAACGGTGATAAATACATAAAGTTGAAAACTTTCTCTTACGTTTAAGGAAAATTCTATTCACCATAACTTATAAAATTTATAAATAGTGCATGTCAATATATATATTTTGTTATGGGTAAAGTACACAAATGGTCTCCGACTATATGTACTATTTTATTAAGTCATTTGATTATAGAGTGTTGCTTCGTTGAGTCTCTTGACTATTAAAAGTTACAAAATGATCACCAAATTATTCATTATGTTATAAACTTGTCATTTTTTCGTTAAAAAATTGACAATTTCAAAGTTGGACGTTAAGGTTCTTAACCTTAAGGTCGTGGGATCGTGTCCCACGGAGGGCATTTCATAATTCGGATGTCTCTTACGGAAGTTGCTCTCAACCTGGTGTTGGGGGCAGCCTACTATCTTACCTCCCCCTTACCCCATACATATGGGAAAAAGTGACAAAAAAAAGTTGGACGTTAACATGATGATTGAGATATGATAATTATTTGAGATTCTGAGATCATATTTTATCATATCATAGTCAGCAGGTTAAAGTTCAGCTAATCAACTCAAAATATCGTTAATCTTTTAACGAAAAAAGATGAGTTTGGTACATAATCAATAGTTAAGTGATCATTTGTAACTCTTAATGGCCAAGGAACTCAATAAAGCAATATTGTATAATCTAATGTTATTTTGTAACTTTTAATAATCGAAGGACTTAATAAAGCATTACCCTTTCGGGGGTTATATAGGCAGCAGGTTGGGGGGAATAGGCAGGAGTTCGGGACGGAAAGGAAAAGGTGCGCCTCATGGGATGCACCTTCCGAGATTGTTAGAAAATTTCGGTAAGACGCTACCTTGGGGATGCGCCTTTCAGGGGTATTATCAGTATCAGGTGATTTTCAGCTAAAGCACTTCTCACCAAATCACGCTTTACTCTTCGATCATCCTAAAATGCGTTTCACCGAACACACTTTCTTCTCTCAGGTATTAGATCGAGTAATATTTGAAAAACGTTAATTGTGAATTTTTTTTTGGGTAAAAAAGCTATTCTTTCTAATTTTAATTTTTTGAAAAGAAAAATTTGTGTGTCAATATTATACAGATGAGAGAGAATATATACTGAAAAAGAAGAAAACCCAAAGAAAGATAAAGATGACATAATAACTTAAAGTTAACGAGCATATAAGCTTCTCTATCTATGATTTCTTTCAGACTTTGTTGTTTTCCTCTGTAAAAAAGCTTCCATTTGCTGATTCGTTTCACTGTCTGTTTCCAGGCTCTTTTCTTTCTTTTAGATTATAGTAAACTAAACCGATTTAGGAATATAGTTACCCAAAGAGGAGGAGGAGAAAGAAGAAGAAAGGGGAATAAATGAGAGCCGGATTAAGCACGATCCAACAGACCCTGATGCCGGAGGCGGCCAGCGTGTTGAACCATTCGATAGCTGAAGCGAGCCGTCGGAATCACGGCCAAACGACGCCGCTCCATGTGGCAGCAACGCTCCTTGCATCTCCTTCCGGATTCCTTCGCCAAGCATGTATCAAATCCCACCCCAATTCTTCTCATCCGTTGCAGTGTCGAGCCTTGGAGCTTTGCTTCAGCGTTGCGTTGGAGCATCTCCCCACAGCCCAAAACACCGGTAGTGGCGGCAGCCCGGGGCTCGACCCTCCAATTTCCAATGCTTTAATGGCTGCTCTTAAACGTGCTCAAGCCCATCAACGCCGTGGATGTCCCGAGCAACAACAACAGCCGCTTTTGGCTGTTAAGGTGGAATTGGAACAATTAATAATATCGATTCTTGATGATCCAAGTGTTAGTAGAGTCATGCGTGAGGCCAGTTTTTCGAGTCCAGCTGTTAAAGCAACCATTGAACAATCACTCAGCTCAACGACTCCAAACTCAGTCAACACTGCTGGTCCAATCGGATTGGGATTCAGAACCGTCATGGCTCCTGCTTCCACAGTAGCCGCGCCCCCATCCAATCGGAACTTGTATTTGAATCCGAGATTACAGCAAGGGGCAGCCGGCCAGCAAAGAAGTGAGGAAGTTAAGCGGGTAATAGATATTCTGACGAGGAGTAAGAAGATGAACCCGGTTTTGGTCGGTGATTCGGAACCGGAATTGATTGTCAAGGAGATTTTGAGAAAGATTGAGAGTAAGGAAATCGATGGGGTTTTGAGAAACGTTGAGGTGGTTAGTCTGCAGAAAGATTTCACATTAGATAAAACCCAAATGGTTTCAAAAATCAAGGAATTGGGCACTAAAGTTGGAGCAATGATTGGAAACTTGGATTGTGGAGGGGTGATTCTTGATTTGGGTGACTTGAAGTGGTTAGTAGAGATTCATCAGGCCGTGGGTCGTGTCGGTGGGGTTCAACAGCAGCAGCAGACGGTACCGGAAGCCGGGCGCGCTGCAGTGGTTGAGATGGGGAAGCTGTTGGGGAGATTTGGAGAAGGGAGTGCCAGAGTTTGGCTGATCGGAACTGCTACTTGTGAAACTTATTTGAGATGTCAAGTTTATCATCCTTCAATGGAGAATGACTGGGGTTTACAGGCTGTTCCGATCGCTGCCAGAGCTCCGTCGCCGGGAATGTTCTCTAGGTGCTTACTTTAACAACTTGCAAGCTTTTTTTATGTTTTGTTTATTTTTAGCATTGGTTTTTTAATGTTGAAAAGCTTAAATTCGATCAGATGATGCTGGGAAAAAGTTAAGGTTCAAAGTTTTGGAATTCAATTCAAGTTGAATATAGAATATTAGTGGGTATCAGGAAATTTCTGTTTATAGAATCCATGGTTATTGTGCTACTAATGGATTTTATTCTTGGGAAAAGGTTGATTCTGATCTGAACTTTTAACATTTTTCTCCCTGTCAGCTTTGGGCTTTGGTTAATGCAAAAGGGTTCCTTCAAGTCGATAAGAGGCATTTACATTCATGTTTCCGTTTGTCTTTGTCTTGCTCGCTCTTATTTGGTTTCTATCCAAATTTTGAACTCAGATGCCGCAATTTGAACTGTGGATTTTGGACTCTTTTTCTGGTTTCCATCGATTTTGTAGCTGGTGGGTATGGTTGATTAACTTGTAATATGCTTCTTATCTTCTAGGCTTGGGAGCAATGGGATACATGGCTGCTCCGTTGAGTCCCTTTCTTCATTGAAGGCGTTTGCAACTACAACTGCTCAAACTAGGCAACCCTCTGAAAATTTTGACCCTGCTCGGAAAACCGGTTGTTGCCCGCAGTGTATGCAGAACTATAAACAAGATCTCGCCAAACTTGTAGCAGCCAAGGAGTTTGAGCAACGTTCATCAGACATTAGGTCAGAGTCAACTCGGCCAGCATTGCCGCAGTGGTTGCAGAATGCCCAGGCTCACGATAGTGATGTCAAAACAGTAGATGAGATGCAGGTAACAAGTCTTATTAATTCTTTTTATGTGTGTGTGGTCGGTGTTGAATATCTGCACTGGCAAATCATTTTCGCCTTCCATCTAAGCTTCAGTGTTACAATGGTTTGTTATATACAGACTAAGGATCAAGACATGATCTGGACTCAGAAGACTCAAGAATTGCAAAAGAAGTGGAACGACACATGCTTGCAACTCCATCCAAATTTCCATCAGCCCAGTCTAGGCCATGAGAGATTCGCTCCTGCTGCTCTCCCAATGATGAGCTTGTACAATTCAAGTCTGCTAGGACGCCAAACTTTCCAACCCAAATTACCATTAAACAAAAACATTGGGGAGACACTGCAACTGAACCCACAATTAGTAGCTAGCCAACCAATGGAGCGGACAAGTAGCCCACCTGGAAGCCCTGTAAAGACGGACCTTGTTCTTGGACGACCAAAGGTCACTGAGACCACACCTGAAAGAACTGATAAAAAGCGTCTGCAGGACCTTTTAGGCCTTATATCTTCTGAACCAGTGAACAAGTTGCAAGATTTGCAAAGCAACAAGCTGTTGAACACGTTAGATGTTGAGTCATTCAAGAAACTCCTTAAGGGTCTAGTAGATCAGGTGTGGTGGCAGCGGGATGCAGCATCTTCAGTGGTCACAACAGTGACGCAGTGTAGATTAGGCAATGGAAAACGGCGGGGTACTGGTTCAAAGGGTGACATTTGGCTCTTGTTTGCTGGCCCTGACAGGGTAGGCAAGAAGAAGATGGCATTGGCCCTCTCAGATCAAGTATGTGGGGCTCATCCATTTGTGATAAGTCTTGGTTCAAGACTTGATGACGGGGAATCTGATGTGAGTTTCCGTGGTAAAACTGTGGTTGATAAAATAGCGGAGGCAGTTAGGAGAAACCCTTTCTCTGTAGTAGTTCTTGATGATATTGATGAAGCAGATATGCTAGTTAGAGGCAGCATAAAACGAGCAATTGAGAGAGGTCGAATTGCCGATTCTCATGGTCGTGAGATCAGTGTAGGAAATGTCATTTTTATCCTCACTTCTAGTCGGATGCCGGGTAATCTTAATTTCACATCAAACGGCATTTCCCTGGATGAACAGAAGCTTACCACTTTAGCAAGCGGAGGTTGGCAATTAAGGTTATCCGTTTGTGAGAAAACTGCAAAGCGCCGAGCCAGTTGGCTGCATGAGGAGGACAGGGCAACAAAGCCGAGGACGGATTGTGGTTCTCTATCGTTTGATCTTAATGAGGCTGCCGATGTGGAGGAGGAAAAAGCAGCAGATGGATCACACAATTCCAGTGATCTCACGGTCAATCATGAAGAAGATCATGGCCTGACAAACAGGCTGTTATCCAACTCAACATCATCATCAGCATCTCATGAGTTGCTAAATTTCGTGGACGAGGCCATCATCTTTAAACCCGTCGATTTCGGTCCCATTAGACGAGATATATCCAACTTGGTAATTAAAAAGTTTTGCAGCATTATCGGCGGCAGGTTTACGATCGAGATCGTAAATGAAGCTCTGGAAAAAATCACAAGTGGGATATGCATAGGCCGAACCGGATTAGAAGAATGGACAGAGAAAGCATTGGTTCCAAGCTTACGACAGCTCAAAACACAAATCCCCACGTCGGAGGAGTCTCTAGTCGTTCGACTTGAACTCGATTCCGAGTCCTGTAATCGAAGCCATGGAGATTTGCTTCCCGGCAGTGTGAAGGTAGTTGTCGATGATGGGGTCCGGTAGTGAGGAAATATGGTATGGAATAAAAATATATCTATACTCGGAAAAGAAAGGGGTAGAGTTGATATTTCGGGATTTGTGTTGGATAGAGATGTAAATATGCTCAACTGGTTTTTTACGGTTGAGTGGTAAAGAGTTGATTAGCAGAGGAGGGCGATGGAGATGTTGATAGATTAACGATATCCTTCATTTTAGTTAAATTACACAATCTCTCCCCCCACCTTTTTATTATTATTATTTGATTTTTTATTTTATTATGGATACGTATTAACTCCGTGAGGACCATTTTGGAAATCGTAAATAAGTTTCTGTATCAGTTTTGTAAACATAAATAAAATATAATTTTTACGTATTTCTAACATTTATGTACTGTTTTCTTCTATTAGATCCAAATTTAAATTTTTACGTATTTCATATTTCTTCTATTAGATCCTAACAGAGATGGATCGAAGGACGGGTGGGGGCGGTTACTCCCTTAAAAATTTAAAATTATCATAAATTTTAGATTTTTTATGTATTTTTTATTAGAAATATGTTTTCGTCCCTTTTTAAATTTTAATTTCTCTCCTTAAATTTAAATTTACCCTTAACATAAAATCTTGTCTACGTCTGTAGATCCAAACAATGATGTTATCTTACAAAGCGGTAATAAGATGGGAAAACTTGACATAAATTAGTCTTCCCTTTATGGTAAATTATAAATTTGATGACTGAATTTTAATATTTTTTTTATTTCACTCACCGTATTTAAATTATTTTAATTTTATCACTGAACTTAATACGTTGAATTTTTTGGTCACTCGACCTTTAAATAATAGTTTGAAAATGTGCAGTTATATACAGTGACATAATATAAGCATGGCTATTGAGGGTCATGGCCCTCCAAAATTTAAAAAATCATAGTTTAGACCTTTTAAATTTTCAAAAAAAATTAATTTTATGCCCCTAAAATTTTTTAAAAATAAGGTTTAACTTTAAAATTTTTGAATGTTCTCAATTAAATCCCCTCCCATAATTTTAAAAAATTCTTCTTCAGCCTCTCAAAATTTCAAAAATTTTAGTTAGACATTAATATTTTTTGGAAAAAACATAAACCAAACCCTTCAAATTTTTTTGAAAATTTTAATTTAAACTTCTAATTTTTTCAAAGTTTTACGTCTACCCACAATCTCTATCAGCAAGTTCTGCCACTGGTTATATAGATGCAAAAAAATTATTTTTGTGAAAATTTTATTTTTTTAAAACGACGTCATTTTTAACGTTGTTAACTATTTACCGATAGAGTGATTATAATAGGAGAGAGAAAGTAAAGTTTAATGACGAAAAATTCAATGTATTAAGTTCCGTAAATAAATTGAAAACTTTTAAAGTTCAATGAGAAAAATATGAGTGATAGTAACGTTTAATAATGAAATTTGTAGTTTACCCTAATTGTATTTATCTTTCGACCGCCGCGTGCATTGTAAATAGCGAAACTAAAACCTCCGCGCACTGATCCTCAACCTCACATCTTTCCTTTCTTTTGTAGCCTCAAATATTAGATAAAATAAAATAATATTGCCTTTTAGTTTAAAATAAATTAATTATTCCGACTTTGAAATATTGTCTTTTAGGTTAATAAAAAACAGACAAAAACGAGGAACGCTGGGGTTTCTTCTCCAACATGCATACTTTACACCTTTATATGTCGGCCTTTTTAGCAATGAAAAAGAAAAAGAAACCCAACTACTCCACGTTGATCTTTTTAACTTACAAATTCAATCCCTAAGCTTATTTTATCTAATAATTAGACGAGACTTTCAAAAGCTTTATATGTTAATCATCTTTAATTAACTTTTTAGTATTGCTTTGTCCCACATAGGGATGATAATTGACCTGAAAATATATATCATTCACCCAACTTCGACCCGACGACCTGATCTTTTAGAATATAAATTCGACTCGATTCCGAATTTTTCTTAAAATAAATTCGACCTTATTTGATCGGATCGAAACCCGTCAGATTCGGGTTAAATTATCCTCCCTAGTCTCACAAGCTAATAAAACAAACCATGCATGTAAAATTCATATGTAAAATTATACAAAATAGAAGTTTACATATAAAATTTGATGTTTCATTGAATTTTATATACAATTTTAAAATGGGTAAAGTACACAAATAGTCCTTTGACTATAAGACACTACTTTGATTTGTCCATTGACTATTGAAAGTTATAAAATAGTCGTTCAACTATTTATTATGTTCCAAACCGTCATTTTCTGCTAAAAATTTAACGATCGTCTGAGCTGAACATTAATATGTTGACTAAGATAAGGTAGTTATTTGAGATTATGAGATCATATTTATCATATCTCAATCAGTAGGTCATCATACAACTCAGACCACTGTCAAAATTTTAACGAAAAATGACGAGTTTAGAACATAATGAATAGTCAGGTGATCATTTTATAACTTTCAATAGTCGAATGACACAACAAAATAATTTCCTATAGTCAGGGGACAATTTTGTAACTTTTAATAGTTAAGGGACTTAATAAAGTATTATCATATAGTTGGGGGATCATTTGTATATTTTACCCTTTTGTAATTTACTCTCTTGTTATTGATGGGGATTAAAATATAATATGTTATAGAAAGGAAATAACTAATATTAATAAAAAAATATCTAAGTAATATTTTGTACGTAAAAATGAAAAGTAGAGAACGATGTAGCATTTTTTCTCTCTCCATTGGTTCAACACGTTTTTATGTAATTCAAAACAGCTAATGGCATCTCATATATTTTGGGTTAAGTACATGAATGGTCCCCCGACTTTAGAGTATAGCTTTATCAAGTCTCATATGATTTTTTTTATTGAGTTAAGGTGATTATAAGTAGTATATGTTCTAAATACTCTAAATCTATAAATACTCAATCACCTTATTGCAGTCGTTGGTGCTCGAATCCACGATCCTCTGATGCTCGAACCTATGAACTCTAAAAACAACAACTCATATTTGTCAAAAATAATGAAAAATGTGAAATCTTTTTAAGTTACAATCACTAATGACGATGGAATGAGAAAAGTGGTCAATAAGAGGAAACAGTGACACGCACTTGTAGAATGATACAAATCCACTAACCCTAGTCTGGAACTTATTCGGGGTCCAACCTTTTGATTGGTCCACAATTTGGTCCATCTTTTTCATACTTTCTGGTACACTTTTTTTAATAGAACAAGTAAGAAAACTGCTATAGAGCATGCATTGCTGACTTTATGCTTTCACCGACGACTTTCCTGATGCATGATGTGTTTGTAAAGAATGAACTTTTGCGTTACGCATGCGAATTTGCTTTGACTTTGCTATTTTTGTTACAATCAAATCTCTTAATTTCCAAGTAGGCCAACAGTAAATAATGGGAAGATGCATGAATATAATACTGTATTTTCTGTATCTCCCCCAATATATATAGTAAGTATATTTGATCCATTAAGTGGCTTTATTGACGTTTTCATCTAGAAATCTCGAGTTCAAACAGTTGCGTATCTAAGATATATATGTATTCTTAATGATTAAGAAAGATTATGAAAATATATTACTTTATAATCGTTTTAAGTTATTCGAAAAAAATAAACATCTAAAAAATATTAATTTTAATATTACTTGTGTTGCATGCACCGGCATATGCTATTGTCAGGAATAGATCAAGGGGGTGTTGGGTGTAATCGTACTTCTTAAAATTTTCAATTTTTTTTATATTTTTTATTTATTATCCGATTTTACATTTCCTAAAATTTTATAACACTATACCATTTAAAATTTTTAATATAATTATTTAAGTTCGTACGTACATACATTTTTATGTCCATGCATAATTTATTTTTAGGGTTTAGAATACATAAACTATGCTTACCTGTTCCCTCTGTTTAATTATTTAAACCTTGCTCTTACCTTTTCTTCAACATATTAAATAAATAAAGAGGGGTTGGGGGCATTGACTATCACGAACTAAGGCATTTTGGGGCATCCCAGCCCTATTGGAGTCCGATGGGACAAATATTAAGATTCAAATATTAAATTTAAATAAACTCATCAATGGATATTAGTATTAAAAAGAGTATTATTTTTTAAAAGTTTAAAATTTGAATAATTGTATTTGTAAAGTGTATTATTAATAGATTAAAAAAATAACGAATATATATTGAATTGTAATCACCTCAAACTATTAAAAATATTAAATTTAGGGATGACAAGTACAATTTCGTGGATTTCACACCCCATCCGTTCCAATTGGGGTGGTGATGGGTATAAGTTTAGTGAGTAGTGGGTGGATGTGGATGTAAAAAGTCATACCGGCCTTGGGTAATGGGTTTGAGACATTACCCGTCTCGCATTCGTCTGCCCCACATCCGCCTGCCCACTAACTATTCACCATATAAATTTAGGACCATTATGAATATATGTATAATTTCAGAGATTGTTGTATAAATCTTAGGATTTATAGGACATGACTTATAATTTAACCAAATATTAGGGTATAAGTATTTATAGGACATGACTTATAATTTTTGCAGCATTATCGGCGGCAGGTTTACGATCGAGATCGTAAATGAAGCTCTGGAAAAAATCACAAGTGGGATATGCATAGGCCGAACCGGATTAGAAGAATGGACAGAGAAAGCATTGGTTCCAAGCTTACGACAGCTCAAAACACAAATCCCCACGTCGGAGGAGTCTCTAGTCGTTCGACTTGAACTCGATTCCGAGTCCTGTAATCGAAGCCATGGAGATTGGCTTCCCGGCAGTGTGAAGGTAGTTGTCGATGATGGGGTCCGGTAGTGAGGAAATATGGTATGGAATAAAAATATATCTATACTCGGAAAAGAAAGGGGTAGAGTTGATATTTCGGGATTTGTGTTGGATAGAGATGTAAATATGCTCAACTGGTTTTTTACGGTTGAGTGGTAAAGAGTTGATTAGCAGAGGAGGGCGATGGAGATGTTGATAGATTAACGATATCCTTCATTTTAGTTAAATTACACAATCTCTCCCCCCACCTTTTTATTATTATTATTTGATTTTTTATTTTATTATGGATACGTATTAACTCCGTGAGGACCATTTTGGAAATCGTATATAAGTTTCTGTATCAGTTTTGTAAACATAAATAAAATATAATTTTTACGTATTTCTAATATTTATGTACTGTTTTCTTCT